TCATCCTCTCCCCTCTCAAGCCTAGATTCCTGCTCCTACTTATTGTCTCTGCCTACCAGCCCTGCTTATCCCTCTACTGCCTAACTATTGGCCGTTCAGCTTTTTATTAGACCAATCAGATGCCTTGGCAGGCAAAGCAACACATCTTTACGCTGTTAAACAAATGCAGCATAAAGAAATGTAACACACCTTTACCAAGTTAAAGTCATATTCCGCAACACAGGCCTGTGGCTGTGGAACTTGTGAAGCCAGGGTGCTGTGTGTCTCAGGAGCTGGCCTGGCCCTCGGCCGGTAGAGCAATCACATTATCAAGGGAACTGGTTGGTTGCCAGGGATGAGTCCTGCAGTGCAAAGTGACAGCAAGTGAGGCTGGTCCTCACGGGCAGGCTGGACACAGCCTTAGACAGTGGCGTTGGCTTCTTTGGGATGGAAGAGGGACGCACGGAAGAGTGGTGTTCACTGAGCATCTTCAGCTGGTACAAGAGTGTCCTAGAGGAGCTGAACAAGGGTTGACAGAACATTGTAAGCTGTTGGTCCATTACGCAGGGAAGTCCTCTGACCATACTTGGTTCCAGACTTGTGGAGTCCCCCAGGAATGCCCCCAGGACAAGTCACCCTTCCTCTGATTGTCTTAAGACGCTTGTAAGTGCCTCCTCTTCTCTCTCAGCCCCATTTTCAATCTAGTCTTGTCTTGAGGCCCCAGCCTGTGCCTTCCTTTTGCTAACTGGGCTAGGATCTGACTGCTAAGCTCCAGGCCTAAGGAAACAGGGGAGCACAGACTTCCGCCCCTGCATCTCTGCCTGTGCCCCAGTGGCTGGGCAGGTGGTGCCAGGATCCCAGTTCTCAGCTGCTGCCAATCCCTCCCAGGGACAGAGAGCAAAGGTCTACAGGGTTAGAAGCAAGGAAACCACCCACGTCCAGCATGTGCTGTGTGTCAAACAGTTAGCGGAATAAGACACCCTTCTTGAGTGACAGCCTTTTACATGGTTGTTTTTGGCAAATGGGACATAGGACAAGCAATGTGCCCAAGAGAGTCTCTGCAGTTCCTGGTGATCAGCTCGAGTCCTAGTTTTGCTTTCTCTACCTGCACGATGGTGGGCCTTCTCCAAGCCTCCCTGCAGGAGAATAAGCTATTAGGAACTACTTCCTGGAATGTGGCGGCCATTGTCAGGTCCCAGCCACATTCCCTTGACCCTGCTAGCTGGTTACCCGCCATCTCTTTTCATTCTTCCATTCTCCAGCAGAACAACAACAAAAATCCCAAGTTAAAAAGTTAAAAATCCCAAGAATGACTGATATCCAGTGAAGTTTGTGAGTGGGAGTACAGGGGTTTTCCTGGACAAACACCTTCATCCTTAGTGGGACACTTATGTGTGAGGTCAACAGACTCAGAAGGTCCCCACCAACCCTGTCCTAGATGGCCACATGGGTGACCTGTTCAAGAGATTCATTGAAAAGAATCACTTTTGTTTTTAATGGTACACTTTGGTATCCCCTTGGGCCTTCTGAGGTCACCCTCTGCACATACTCACCATGGTCCTTGTCCAGGCTCTGACTGTCAATGTGGTCCCCTGCTAGACAGGAAGTGAGAGGCAGCACTGGATGGCCTATGTTGCCTGTCTCTGTTTTTAGCACCTGTCCTCATGGTTGCCTTCTCTCTACCCATGGACCGGAGCGGGCTCTGTGCTCTCTTTTGATTTGTAATTGAGTGGTTTCAGGGTGAGCAGACGCCCACTTACGGGGGGAAAGGCTGTTGCTTTGGTACTACCCTGCCCACAATTCTTCAACCACAGAATCCTTATGTTTGGCGATATCCCCACATGTGATGAGGCTGCCAGGTTGCGGGGGGGTGGGGAGGAGAGCTGTATGTTTTTGACCTGTGGATCTTGCTCTGTGAATGGCAGAGGATATTGAGTTTCTTTTCTCTGGGAACTGGAGAGATGGCTCAGAGGGCAGAGAGCTTGCCCTGCAAACAAGAGTGTTGAAATTCAGGTCCATAGCACATGTTGGAAAAAATACATTTGACAGTGGGCACATGCCTATGATCCCAGAGCTGGAAGGTAAAGACAGTCCTAGGGACTCAATGACCAGTCAGCCTAGCCAATCAGTGAGTTCCATTCAGGTTCAGTTAGAGATGCTTAAAACAAAACCAAACCAACCAAACAAAAGCATAGGTGGGATCTATAGAGGAAGATATCTACATCTTCTGCCCCTTCCCAAATATTCTTTCCCGACTAAGACAGTAAAAGCTCCATTCGGAGCATTGTACCAGACGGAAGGTCTTGACTGGCATGAATTGGGGGAGACTCCTTGCTCCCCGTCATCACGGATGTCTAAGTAGGGTGATCATCCTATGACCTGCCTCAGAAATTGATACTCAAGGAACCTTGGCTAGGACGTGCCTTGATCTAGTCTGCCTGGCTGTGGCTGGTCCATGGTGGCTTCGTTCTCCTCTCTGTATGTGACAGTTGCCGCTACCCAACAGCTACTGCACTTCCCGCCGCAACGTCAAGAAGTGGGCATCCTCTTGGCTCCCGTTCCCACCCAGGCGCCTTGGTGGTGAGCAGAGAAGCCCGACTGGAAACCAGGACGGCCTGGAAGCAAGGGAAGCGATGGGGGTCTTGGAATTGAACTGAGCATGGGGCTTCCTGGTGTAGGGATCCTCCTCCCCCAGATCCTGGAGCAAGGCAGCTTGGGTCTGGAGCTGATCTTTCAGGGCAGTGGTTTGGTGGGCCTCACACGCATCATGCCCCCTTCCTGGGTGATTTTTTTTCCTCCTAAGCTGGGAAAGGGGCGAGGGGAGCTAGAGCTCAAAGGTTGCTCCGAGCATGCAGACAGAAATCTGTTTCCAGCTGTGTGAGACTGTGACCAGAGCCGGGATTTACTGCATTTCTCCAGCTGGGGAGAGTGGGGAGAAGGAGGGCATTCCAGATAGAACTATGTTGCCCACCCTTCCTTCCCGTAGTGACCTCAGGGTCAGTCTAAGGAACCAAAGGGAATGAATGGGTCACCTGCAGCCCATTACACCAGAATGCCACTCTCAAGGAACAGGTGAGGTATAATTATTATTACTTGAGGCAATCCCGCTGCGGTGTGACATTTCATGGTTGACTGACACTGTCAATATTGTTCCTGATATTTTTTGAGCACTTGCTATCCTCTACTTGCTACTCTAGTACTTACTAGAAATTACGGCGGACAGCACCTTTGCGCCAATGACAGCAAGGTGCTCCCTCTGAGGAAGCGGCAGAAGGCCACACATACCTGGTTTGCAAAGTGAAAAGGTCCAGGTCTCAGCCCTCTCTGGGATTTCTTGGCTGGGCAGTTAGGCACCTCACGGACTGCACAATTGTAGTGATTTGGGAAAAACAGATCTCACGATCCCCATTTGGCAGATGAAGAAACTGAGGCTAAAAGAGGTCAAACAGTTAGGAAGCGACTCTATCAAGATTCCAGGGCATGTCTGTCTAAGCCCAAAGCTGATGCAGCTCCCATAGGACACTTCATTTTAGAAGCTCAGAGTTTTACAGGATGCTTAGCTTGTGCTGGGCGATGGCGGGTGGGGGAGGTCCATACATAGAGATGCTGTTCATTAAAACCTTGTTATTACCACACTTGTGCAAAAGGCAGTTGATTTGCTACAGTTTTAAAGTCATCAGTAGAGGAAGAAAAAAAAACCCACACCAATTTGTAAATACTATTAGGTTCCCTGCCACTTTGTTGAATCTAGCTGGTATTTTTGGTATTGACTTTCCCAGCTCTCAGCTTAACTCTATAAATCCAGTTGACATGTCTTTATTCAGATAAAACTCTAATACTGCAAGTGTAGCAAATTAGATGCAAATGCCCCCTTTTTATTTTAAGTATACTTAAAGCTGCCTTTCCAATGCAAATTTTATAGAAATCTCACCCAGCTAAGACAGACGTCTTAGCTGTCAGCAGGCAAATGCTTTCATTTTGGTCTCAGGCAAGGGAGCCGCCTGTTTTTTTTTTTTCCTTTTGCCCCTGCAGACTGAGATAATTAAAACTACAGAGAAATTGTTTTAAATATACATGATATACAGAGTTCCTTCAGTTACGGGATAGTGCATAAATTCACCCATTACCATATTTGATAGCCCTTTTGCTGACCAAAGCTGGGGGGTAGGGCCAGGGGGCGACTTAACTCTATGACACCTTCTCCAGGATCCTGTCACTTCAACCAGTACATCTTTAGGAGCTCTGGTGGGGGTTCAAAAAGAGGTTGTGAACACCCTCATTAAAAGGGAATTGCTGGTTTTTTTTCTCCTTAAGAAATAAAAGTGTTAATCGTAACTTTCCCCCTCTCTTTCCCCAGCAGCTTTTAGTCTCTCTGGAATACATATCCATTTCGGCTTTGATTTGTTGAGCTCCCCGAATGAGTTTATCCAAACAATGTGAATTTACTCAGATCTCTCTCAAATCCCACATCTCTTGTGGTTGATAAAGCTGACTTCAGCTAAGAAGGGGGGATCAGCGTGGTTTGAAATTCACATTGGAAGTGATACGGGCTTTGCTGGAAACTATACGGCACAGTCAAATGCTGTCAGGAGGAGGCAGGGGTGAGTGCGGAGAAGTTTGGCGAGGCCTTCTTGGCTCCTGGCTCTTCCCAGAATCCAGGTGGAGTAACAAGGGGAAAGGGGACTGGGGCTTAGCTTGGGCAGACACTTAAGCCTCACGGATAATGTGAATGATAACTCGACAGAGCACTGAGCATCGAGTTCATGCTTGATCATTACAAAATAACAGCCCCCCCTTGCTTCACAATGGACAGCCTCCTCTTGTGAGGTTTGGGGGTGGCTGTTGCTGTCTCTACCTATCATGGCTCCTAACACCAGTTGAAAAGAATTTCCCATAGCCCTTCCTGAGCACTCTGGCTACTGGACTCGGCGTTTTCTTATTTCCTCCTCCCCGCCCTACAAAGCAACAAAATCGTTACTTCCTTTTCAGGGAGGTGGCATTGCAGATAAGTGTGAGTCTACAAACCAGCTCACACTCCTTCAGGGCTTGCCCAAGTCTTTGTTGTGTTTCACAGAGGCCCTGTGTCCTGAAATGAAGGGCAAATAGCCCAAAGATACTGGGACAGCAGTCCTTTCGCCTCTGCTGCTAGGCTGGGTCTGACCGACTCGCTGAAAGGTGAATTGATCCGGGCGGTGGTTCTGGAGAACTTTCATGGGCTGTTCTGGGCTGTGCTAACCTGTGGAGAGGCATGGGTGGGGACGGGCAGGAGAGGGGCCTGAGTTCTGAGACAAAGCCAACTGGACTTCCTCGGTGAGTGGCATAGGAGGGATTAGGGTTTCTTGTTCCTGCACTGGTGGAGTCTGGGGCTCAGTCGTTCTTTGGTGTGTGAGTGTGTGTGTGTGTGTGTGTGTGTGTGTGTGTGTATGTGTGTGTACGTGTGTGTGTGTGTACACGTGTGTGTATGTGTGTGTGTGTGTGTGTGTGTGTGTGAGAGAGAGAGAGAGAGAGAGAGAGAGAGAGAGAGAGAGAGAGAAATAGAAGGTGGGGCAGGGATATATCACCCCGTCTCTATCCACTAAATGACAATGATACCCTATCCCAAGTTGTGACAACCAAGTGTCCCATGGTGTTGCCAAGTATTTCATGGGAGGCAACACAGTCATGGCAAAGGAGAACCATAGTTTTAGTGGGGCTCCTCCAGAGCCCAGAGTTCTTCTTTTCTTTAAAAGGCAGGTTGCACTGGTGCCTCCTCCCAGCCCCTTTGTCTCTGAAGATCCCACTTTCACACGCCCTTCTAAGCAGCCGAGCAACCTTCCTTGAAAATAGCGGGATCAGAGGAGCTTTGCCACGGAGCCCTCGTTTCTAATTACCGTAATTACTCCCTCTCGAAATCACCAGAAGGCCGGTTGGATAAGGCATGGGGCTTCTCCTGGCTGCCCTAATCTCTGCGATTCCAACTGGAATTGATGAATGAGTTCTCTGAGCACGTGCCCCGCCCATGTGTGTTTGTCGAAAGCACAATGGCTAGGCCAGGGCAAATGTGGCCACTAATTCTTCCCAGCTCCTTTCCCCAGTCCGCTTTCAGGTCAGGCTCAGACACTCTGTAGTGAGAGTTCATTACCGGCTGAACTGGGAGCTGACCACTCTTCCCTGGTCTCAGGGCCCCTTCTTTCTTCACCATCTGACACCTGGACTGCCTGGCCTGACTTGGAGGCTGGTGTTTTCTAACCTACCAGACAATAACTATCAAAGGGCAGTTTAACATCTATTTAGGCTGGAAAAAGGGAAGGGGGTGCAAAAACTTTCAAACATCATCTGTAACACAAACAAATCCCTTCCAAAAAGGTGATTTTCCTAGTTAATGACCAATTGTCTGCCCTGGGGTCTGTCTGTTTCCATTCCAGATGGGAGCAGGGCAGAGCATCCCAATTATTTTTATTAAGCACCCCTCTTCTCAACACACACACACACACACACACACACACACACACACACACACTGTAAAAATGAAATGGCAGCCAGCTCCAAAGTACCCTCCATTCCCCGGCTGTCACCCTAGACTATTTCCTGCCTTTGCCTCATTATGGACAAGTGTGTCCTTTAAGACACAGACTAATGAGGCGGTTTTACGAGACTAATACATTTTAAATTTTAACACGGAGGCTAGCATCTTTAATTGTGCAATTACACATTCATTTAGCACACTTGCTGGCACCCTCTCTTTTTGCTTTAAAGGATAACAAAATCACACATGACTAAAGGTGTCATTTTTCAGGGTTTTAAAAATCGTAAAAGTATAGGAATCTTTTCTCATCCTGACAGATTTCTTCGGCAAAATTAGTTATTATTCTTCAAGAGAAAATGACTTTTAAAAATGAGTGAGGACGGGTGTGGAGACGGCCGGATGACGCCTTTCGTTGGGCTTTTATTTTCAATCCTCCAACTAGTTCCACAAATAGACTCTTCCTGGAAAAGGTCTTGAGAATTGAAAAATTAGGGAGGTGGAGAGGGAGAGAGGGAGGGAGAGAAAGAGAGAGAGAGAGAGAGAGAGAGAGAGAGAGAGAGAGAGAGAAGCTACCGGAATAGCATTCAGTGAGAGGAGATGCATCCTGTCTTCAACAAAGGCTTCTGAATTTCCCACCTGACAGCTCTCTATCGGTAGTAATAAATAAGGCTGAATTATTGATGATGAGAACTGCTAATATTATTATGACCTCAATTAAGTGCTTTTTTCAGATGCATTAGTAACAAAGGGGTCTTCCCTTGCCCCCTTGCTGTTTTTTCCCTCAGGCCCCACTTTACATTAAAATCTAATTGATCAAACCTAGTTGCCATTCGCACAAGAGCGATCACCATAATGGGTCATCTATCAGCATGGCCCCCTCATCAGGCTATTAACACCTTTTGTTACTGGCCCGGGTTCTGTAGCAGCTGAGAGGATCAGAGAGGCAGGGCCCGGGATCTGGAAGGATGGTGTGTGTGTGAGGTCTGACATGTGGTACCCTTTAATTACCCTCTTTAACACCCTTACAAAACACTTAGATATTCTCACTTTGGGAGGAGCCCTCCCAAGCAGCCTGGCTACAAGATGGCACCCTCTTTATCTGAAGAAAGGGGTGTCTCCATGGACCCTCGGCCGGCTCCTCCCTTCCACTCACTGCCTCTCTCAGAGTCCTGGCATATGGCCTGAACGGGAGCCTCAGTGCTCTGTGATGGAGGAGTTTGGACCTTGGTGGCTGGCTCAAGGGGGTGAGAAGACCAGAGTAAACTCCTCCCTGAAGCAGAGACCTGTGTTTGTTTACATAAGGTGATCTGCCCCAGAGCCTCCTGGGGACAGAACAGAGCCTCTTGTGACTTCCTGACACAGGGTGACTCTCAGAAGTTCAGGGTTGATGACCTGTAATTTCCCCCCAGAAACAAGTGCAAAATCGTATTCAGATTGTGTTTTTCTGGGGGGAGGAAAAACATACATCTTCCATTAGATTTCCAAGTTTGTCTTTGACCTCCCAGAGGGGCAGAATTCTCTTTTCAGGAGCCACTTATATGGAGGAAACACTTATGTATCTTTCCCCATCAGAATCCCAGGACAAAAGCCCTCCTGGTGCACTGTCTGGTGGAACTCTCTGTTTCTCTCACCCTGCTCCTATCTTGTCTGCATCATCAACCTCCTTATTTAAAGTGGCAAGTCTTTCCAGGTTTGGAACCAGGCAGGTAGTAGGAGGTGGCTGTTGTCATGGCAGAGAGGACACAGGCAGAACAGGTTTGGGGCAACCTCAGAAGCATGGATTGCTTCCAGGTGAGTGTGTGTGTGTGTGTGTGTTTCACACAAGTTCACCATAAAAACATTATTTTTACTTGATTATAAATTAATATACTTAGAAATCAGCTCAAAAGGCATTTAAAGTTTCTCCAAATATTGACATTTTGACCCACTCAATTTCTTTCCTTTCTTTCTTCATTTCTTTTCTTAGGGGGATATATTTTCTTTACCACTCAGGCTAGCCTTGAACTTTCTAGGTAGCTCAGGCTAGCCTAAGCCTCCTGCTTCCAGCTTCTTGTTTTCTTTTCAAGCAACCATTTTCCTGGGGATCATTGAAAAATATTTCAGACTGGGATTACACACTCTGTTTTTCAATTTTATGATTCTCCCCACAGGACATCTTTCTACGAGAGTAAATGTTAGCCGGCATTGTCATTTTAGATGACTTCAGAATGTCTAACTGAGAAACTGTGTTCTTGGGGTGCCTTCCCTCTGGCTAGGGTTTGTCTGCATTAACAGTGGGTGCTTCACTGGCTGTTCTTAGCTCAACATGTGCTTACTCACTTACGCCTTAAATGGGCTGTGAACGTGCACGTTCTAGCTTATGAGGGTTGTGTTGTTTTCCAAGTTCACAGCCCAGACAGGCTGCAGCATTAATGCTCCTTCGGGCTTGCCCATCAAAGGTCCGTGCAGCGCAAGGTGCTTCAGAGAGCATGGTGGCTTCTGGGCTGACGTGGGTGCAGGTGTGCCTCTGACTGGGCTGGTGGGGGGGGTCAGATTTCCTGCCCAGTGGGATAAATACACAGCCCCTCATCAAACAGCAGGTCAGCAAAGAGACTTCAAGAAGGGCTAGCTGTGACTGTGTCTCCGTTCGCGTACACCTCAGAGTTCTGTATAGACTTGGACAGACCCATGCCAGGCATTCAGGGAGTTTCTTCTGTGTGGCTCAGCTCCCCAAGAGGATGATGGGTAGGAGGATGCATGGTCAGAGGGTACTTAGCCTCGAAGCCCTAGGCGTCTGTTTAGCCCAGCCTGGTGACTTCTCAGCCTACATTGTCTTAATTCAAGTTGTCATTCATAGACCAGCAGGAAACTAAAATCAATAGAGGTGGAAATGGGTTTGAAGGGCGGCTAAAGCAGCGGAGGCAGAGGGAACAGCTTCCGTTCCCTCCGTGGGCTACATCGCTCCTGGCTATTTAGGACTGGATCTGGTAGCCATGTCTTTAAAACAGAAGAAGGTAAGAAAATGCAAGAAGACTTCTTTTAAAGATGGCTTGGGCATCCATCAGGCGAGACTTGGGGTTAGGCTGTCCTTGGACTACGGAGAGCAGTGAGGCCAACCATATTTGGAGTTTGTTTGTGTTTTCTTTCTGCAGAAAATGGAGTATCTGTCTGCTGATTTCTGTGTTAGCTTTCTGTAAGTCTGTATACTTCTCCAGGCCACAGTCTTCTTCACTAGAACACAAAGTGAGCTCTAGTAGTTTTCAGCCTATTTTCCTATAAAGAACTGGAGCAGATAGACGCTGGAGAGTCAGGAGAAGAAGGATCTCGGGGTCAGGTGGCAAGCATGGATCCTG